GTCATAATCTCTAAATGAATGGCCACATGGCTCTACCAAATAGCTGTACAAATGGCACCAACCATTTTTGGATATTGATTAAGAAGCAAAAGCATTTACTTTAATTCATTTTTTTCTCTTAATACCAAGAGATAGTTGCAGTTTTCCAGTTTGATGTGGATGTTAGCTGCTTTTCATCTGTGACAGAAGTGACTTTTCAGGCAATAACAAAAAAATTGCCTTGAATGTGCACTCCTTAGATTGCAAAAACAATAACCAATGCATCCATTTGAAGTTTGACTCCTTATGTGAGATAATCACACAAATATACTGTATTTCACACAGTAATTGCTCCTAAGTGATACTCACTGATGTGACATGCAAATTGCTTTATATGATGCCATTGGTACTGAGTGCTTCCAGAAACTGACAGCATATGCTCTGCAGCTGCCATCCAGACACTTCTTTGGCATTACAAACAGGCCTCTTTAAATGTGGAACCCAGACAACCCTTTTTTTTTTTCAAGAAATTGTTGCCTTTGTCATTCTAGCAATAACTCTTAATGTTGCTGCAACATAACTGACCGGCAATGTTCAAGATCCAGCAGACAAGCTGAGCTTTGTGATCACTTTGATTTTGAGAAAATGAGTGTGTGGGTGCAATGATTGAATCATACATTTGTTTTGTTTTTTTTTATCTAGTCTTTTTAAATCAAAACCACATCTAAGAAGACTTTATGCAAAATCAAACTAAGATGTCAGGAAAGCATGGCTTTCAGTAATGCAAACACACACTGCCAGAGATAAATCTACTTCAGGGAACAACACTAACACACTACATGAAAATCACACCACAAAATCCTCCTGTGACAACAATGAATATAAATTATTTTTGCACATCAGGTGCTTTAAGGATTTCAGGAGGTGTCTGCATAAGAGCAAAGAGAGTCTCTTTCTCTTGTCTCTTTGTGGTTGTCTCTATTTCCTGTCATGTTTGAAGAAGAGTTTTTAAACATGTCATACCACAGGTTCCTGATATGTAGATTATTAACACGTCCTCACTGGGTACAAACTAAGTGCTGCAAAATTAGAAGACAAAAACATACATATTAAAGTGTCAGCTCTAGCAGAGAGAAGACCGGAACTGAAACTATAATGAAATGGCAAATTAACTAAGAGTATACCAGCTAATACAGAAAGAAAGAAAATACATATTCAGAGATATTATCTGACAGTAAAGCTAAAGGATGTTTTGGTTTACTACAACTTGGGTCTTATTCCCTTAGTTATGGAGATCATTTTCTTCAGTAATGGTAATTCGTACATTCATATGTTGGTACAGATAGGAACGATGGCCAAAGGTCTAAAAATACAGTAAAACTTCAAATAAAAGCCCCAAATAGGCACAGGTCTTCTTTACCAGCCTGATGTGGCTACACGTTTTCACAAATAAACAGAGGTCTCCATTAGAGTCTAGATTTTAAAGAAATTCTCTGGCTATATACATTTATAAGTACATATTGTTTCCCATCTTTGCTGAGCAAGAGTATTGTGCTAAAAGAATTAAACGCCTGTCCCCAATAAAGGCAGGGGGAGTTCAGTGATTGATAAATGCCTAGGTTTACTACCCAGGTTGTATTAAACCAGAATTATCCTTTAAATTACAATTTCCATAGGGAACTTCTGCATCCACTGTGTGATCAATCATTTGGTCTGCCAGACCTCACTGGCTACCATGTCGCCATGAAATATTTGATATTCACAGTCCCCAGAAGATGATTCTCTGTCCACCCTCATGTCAAACCTCTTGAAAAACATGAAACTTTTCCTGGTGTTTTGAAAATTAACCGTTTTATCTTAAATTCCAGTGAACATCACAAAGTTTCCAAAGATACCAGGCTGCATTTTGGAAAGATTGTTTTAAAATCAAGCATGTAGAATATTTCTTTTTGATGCAATGGTCATAAAAAAAAAGAACCCTTGGGTTTGAATACTTTTCAGGGTAAGCATCATATAACTTCAGTGAAGAGCTGGAATAAGCTGTCAGACACAAGTATTTCTAACATTAAAGCAACCCTGCATAAAAAAAGGGATTTCCATGCAGTTTGCTGTAGATATTCAATGTCCTCAGAAGAAGAGGAATTGTCCCAGTAGCACCACCAACAGACCAGAGTTTACATTTATAGCCAGTACTGGTAAGACTACGGAGGGCCAGTCGTGTTTACTCAGGTTAATCCACAAGGCCAAGCTTATTATGGAATAAAGAAACATGATATGATGTACATACTTTGATGTTCTCCCTCTTAATTTAATTTGAACCAGTTTGATACAGACAACCAAGAATGATTCTCTGCAACCATCCAAGCTGCCCCCACCACCACCCTGACCACACCACACGCATCCCCCACTTCCCCCAAAGCCAAAGTCCACATTAACATCGTAATAGGAAAGTGTGTTAAAGCACAGCTTTAGCAGCCTGACAAGAGCGAATTGGATGTCAGAAGGATTCCTGCTCAGTTTAATTGAATCTGCCCAGCACTAAAAAAGAAAATCTGAAGTCAAAATAACCTATTAGATCTATCAGGTAATGTTTTGTTGAGTTTGACAGATAGCACTGCTCTGCCTCGCCCCCCTACCTCTTTTATTCCTGCAGGTCGGGTAATGCAGGAGTGTAGGGGTGGGCGGTAGCTGATGTTATCCGCGATGTTTCTCTCTCTGTTTCTGTTATTCGTTAATAAATTGTGGCCTGCTCTGTTTCCTGGAGCTCACTCAGCAAATCCCTTGAGTGTAGAAGTAGGCTGGAGAAGGGTGTGGAGAGGTGTTAGTGAGTTACTACAGCTAATGGATGGTGGGGGCTGCTCCACGTGATCTGATTGCTGAGCGCTCGCTGTTTGTTCAGTGTCCTGACTTCACTTTTTTCTGCCATTCCCTATTTTCTGTCTTTAAAAAAGACATTAGCTAGGAAGTGAAGGTTGAGTGTATGGTGTAATGGTATCTAAATAAGCTAAAAGCACAGAAATGTGTTAGTAATGTATACATTATATTGCAGAATTCAGTCAATGTCACATATCAATGCAACATCTAGCCACATAATCATCTCATCTCCACCACCTCCCGTCCCACTCACTCTCCCGTAGCATATAATGTGGGGCTATTGATGAAAACATGTGCTCCTCCTTTGTGAGGTGAAGGGCCAATCACATCCACAAACAGATGGGATGTCATGGATCCCTACACCTGATCAATATCTTTTACACAGCATTACAGGTAGGAGTGTCAAGGGCTTGTTGTCCGGTCCCAGCCATGTTTTCTTTTTCAAAACACTATGAACTGTTTCCACTGTGAATAATTTGTGAATAGTTTGTTGTGTGTGCGGTTGCATTAAACCTCTTAAGTTTCTTCCAACACATTACATTTTTCCTAAGCATTAGTGAACTTAAGGGTGATGCAAGAAACACATCAAATAGATTGTTATGGACGATGTAAAATACTGAAGGCCAGATTTGCTAAGGCCTTTGGTCTTGTTTTTCAGGCAGGAGACGCTTGCTGCCCACAAAACGTGTTGTATTTATTGCAGTTTGCATGTGATTTGTGTGACTAAGTGCAAGGTGCACCTCTCCTCTCATTGCATATGCATTTAAAAGGTCATTGTGTAAGACATAGCGGGCTCTATTTGCAGAATATTGTAGAAATGGAATATAATATTCATACATATGTTATCATTAGTGTAATCACCTGAAAATAAGAACTGTTGTGTTTTTGCCTATTAGCTTCAGAAATGAAGCCTTTACGTCAGCATTAACCTCCACCTGCTCCTTGTCTCTACCTGTCTTTCTCTTTGTACCTTGTTGCCTCCTAAAGTATTAATAATTAGACATACAGATGCTAAAGATTATAACATCATAGTTTAATGGGTAATATTTTAAGGAATAGTAACAGTTTTTTTAGGTAGAGTTGGCAAAACTAAATATTTTGTAATAAAGATCACTGCTGTTATTTTCTTTCTGAACTTAGTGATCACTCAGAAATCCCACCTCTGAAGTGAACTTAAGAGCTCTCCTTCATGGTCAGAGTGCGTGTGGAGGGTCAGGAGCTGATTGCATAATGAGCTTCAGTCTTAGTAAAGTAGGAGTTGAATGCATATAGATTGCAGCTGCAAACTCAATAAAAGTCGCAGCTCACATTTGCGCAACACCATTTCATAGTAATTGTTGCCCTGAGTGATTTCTCACAGTCCAGCAGGAATATGGTAATTCTTTTCCTGCTCAGTTTAATCAATCCCTGATTGCAATCGAAAGTGTTATTGTTGTGGCGATGTTGTAGAGTGGTTATTAAAATGTCAACCAGATAAGAAAAAGTCAAACTGGTCTCACGAGAATAACTTCTTGTTACTAACAAACAACTGAAGCAGTGAATGCAACTCATGGACAAGAGCAAGAACTCAACCTTTTGATAAAAGCAACAAGTAGTCCAGTCCACTAAACCACACGTTTGGGCTTATTGGCAAACAGTTATTTTTAGTTATGCCTTGAGGTGTGTTTTGAAGTATAAAATTATTAGGTTTAGGTTAAGAGATAGTTGGGGTAATATATTTCTGGAACTCAATTTTTTGTGGCTGCGTCCATTTTTGATTGAAGATATCTAAAATTATTCAGATTAGATAACAGATTTTTGTAAGGCAGTTGATTACATTACTAATTACAATAATTAAATTTGTATTCAGTAACTGACTACTGATACTCTGACAGCACATAGGTTATGACCCATGTCAACCACATGGTCAGAACTCTTTTCGATCAGTTCTGTTAATGGCAGCAACATGTTTTAGCATGTTTAAAGCAGCAGTTCTTAGCCACTGCAGCTCCAAAGTTCCTGCATGTAAATAAAGTGTGATATACATCTCTATCACATTTAACTGTCAGACATCCCAGAAGGGATGTAATGGCTGACTACCATACCCACAATGTAACACTGAGTACTCTTATCCATCCACACTGAGCTCATTTTTCCTTTGCTTTCAGATTCACGAGCTGGAGAAGGAGCGCCCAGAACGGTGGACCACGCAGTGATCGGAGGAGTGGTGGCCGTGGTCGTCTTCGCCATGCTCTGTCTACTCATCGTCTTGGGGCGCTACTTCGCAAGACACAAAGGTAATCCTTATAAACAGTAACTCATCAGATTTTTTTAATTAGATAAAGCTGCATTGGGCAAGATTATATACAAGCATAAAGAGAAGGGGATCCAATTGCCACTTAGATGCTACACAGTATTCAGCCTGTCAGCCTAAATGGGCAGTAGCTGAAAATATTAACCAAAAACAGGAAGTAAAACAGCAGTGAGAAAACACTGACTTGAATTGACAGCAATAAAGTGTTGCAGTCAGCCAGTAACACACCACCCTACCACCGTGTTGCTGTAGTTGTGGACAACCTGGCTTGGGTGTGTTATGAAGATATCATTGGCACTGTTTGAGTTTGACTAACAGCCACTGGCAAATAAATCTCTTCCCTTTTATTTGGAGAGCACCAGACAAGATGCAGAAACTGAGTTGGGACAATAAATGTATAAAAGCCAGCAGGATACAAATCAGTTGGACAGAATCTGCTGTGTAAATGACTTCACTCTCTGCTTCTGGGTCAGTTCTGGATGAACGATCACAACGTGCAACAACATCCGAGACTCGTAGGCATTGTAGTATTCAGAGCCTGATGCTATGCCAAAAAAAAAGAACAGGAACTCTCAGAAAGTTTGGAAAAAGTTGAGATTGATGGCCATATCATGAACCTTTAGTATGATTAAATCATCTGAAAGACTTCTGTGTTTCTGTGTACAGTTACACCGATCAGTCATAACATTATGACCACTGACAGTTGGATATATTAAGCAGCAAGTGAACATTTTGTCCTCAAGTTGAAGCAGGAAAAATGGACGATGGTGCCCAGGTTGTCATAATGTTATAGCTGATCGTGTATAATGAAGAAAAACAGCAAAGATACCTCCAGACAGTTATGGATATAACATAATTTCATCAGGGTTTGGGGTTCTTTGACATTAAAAAGGTTGAGAACTGGTTTAGACACACTATAACACTAGCTTATAGGTAACAGGTAAGAATACATCAATAATCAATATTGTTTTTAACAGTATTTTAAATATATTTATTCTTTAGTATTTATGTTTTTTAAGGCAATACATGTTTTTCAGCAGTATTCTGCTTGCCCCCAAAACACAATCTGATCCAGCAGGATATAACTTTTATCAGGCATATCTTTTGTTTCTGTAAAAAAAAAAAAAAAACTCTTCACATCCTTTCTGAATAATGAAAAGACGCTATTAAGGCTACGGGTTACTGATGGTGAGTATAATTACATTTTTCATGCATTCCTGCTGAAGAGTATAACACATCTCAGCTGCTGCCCTCGTGACCGAGAAATAATTATAATCTATAACAAATTTCACACTTTGATATTTCTTATGCAGGAGGAAATGGAATTGGATACATTGACCACTTTAGAAAGGAAATACTTTAAATGAGCCAATGTAAAGGTGTAGAAGAGATGCTTTGTTATTTTATAGTGATACTGAGCTCAGTGTTTCCCTTCACTTAACTGTCCAGACGCTGCAGGTAAAAAGCATCTCTGTTGTTTGATCCCAGTGGTAAACTGAGAGGTTAACTCTGTGTTAAACAATAATAAGGTTCATGATATTTTCATCCTGTGTCCAGCTGACTGAGTCTTACATGATTTATTAACACTAAAGGCTTAACACTCTGCCATCTGGTGTACCCACATTTGGGAGCGGTTCTGGGGTTAGTGAAGATCCAGGGCTTAGCGCTGAAATCTTGGAATGAGTGTTGGGTCACATTTAGATTGATGAACACTGCAATATAAATAAGAACTATATGAATAATGTGATTATTATTTAGAGCCCAACTCATTTTCTAGCTATAGGGCATTCTAGAGGGTACAACATCATGTTTTCTTTCACATTGCCACCACAGAGGGCACTTTATCATGTTTAATCTACCATAGAGGTATCCAAGAAGACACTTTAGCAGCCGGGGGTCAATCGTTCAGTCACCAAAACACAGACAGCTGCAATCAGGGTTGGGAAGAACTCACGAAGAACAGTAAAGATTTGCCACACTGCAATGGAATCAAGCGATATGCGGGTGCATACCCAGACTCACTAGGAGGTTGTGGAATGCAGTAAGAAGTAAGGGTACAAAAATCAGAAGTGCTGGTACTCTACATTGCGCTGTACTCATTCATATAATACTGAGATCCGGGAATGAAGGGACATTGTTAATAAGAAGTCTGGCAGGTCAAGAAACATGAACAGTCGAACCACCCAAACTGTCCGTTCTAAACAGCCATCACAGGCCAACATATTAGTTCAACACTACCACGGTCTTCCTATGCAATGAGGGTTGGTCTCACGGCCAAATAAAGTTGTTTAGATAATCTGGCTGAGCTTCTGTCTGACTTCCTGACTGCTTATGTGTCTGTCCCCATCTGACGTTGTTGTAGTGATGCCATGTTGCCATGTTCTCAGATCTCAGCTTAGTGAGTATAATGATATCATAACTCCTAAAAATGGGGGCCAAAACTCCAAAAATAAGACACAAGCTGTAATAAACTGGAATTATCCTTTAATGCTCACTTCTGATTCATTGCCACAATTCTATTTTTTCTGTTAGCCAGTTAGTTAGTTAGTTAGTTATTTTTTCAATATAAAATAGCAATAAGAGGCAAATAAACAAATCAGATGGAGGCCACTTTGTCTAATGGCACTGTGCATGGTGCGAGTTGTAAGCTGTTTAAAGTGCAGTGGATGCCAGATATGAATATTCATGAAAGGGCAATAATGGTAGGGAAGAGACGAATGAGAGATAAGAGATTTTTGAGATGTTAGAGCTAGGGGAGGTGAACTCAGAAAAACAATTAATCCAGAGTTTCAGGATGTCGCGGGCAATTTTTAACTACCTCTGTCAGAAACTTTCCGTAAATACTGAACAAAACACTTACCTGAAGCTACCCATAACCCTGAGGACGAACATAGGAGCAGGGTTGTGTCAGCTGGCTGCGGGGGCGGATTACAGCATAATTCTTATGTGACTGCTCAAACTGAGGTTGCCAAAATAAATATATCAGATATAGGTTGTTGGCTGCCCAAGTGTCTTTTTCAAACGTGATGTTAAATAAGGAAAAGAAAAAGAAAAAACATTGAATGGGGGGAAAAAAATAAGATTCAGCTTTTTGTTACATGCAGTCTTAATGTCACCCTCCGTGTGGTAGGCTACAGCACCGCTGAGCACCTTGTTTCTATGTGATCAAGCAGCATTTGTGCTTTTATTTTTTCCACATTTAACAGTGCCCTTCCTCATTCGATCTGGAATATTGCCTTCATTATCAGCCTCTACTATGATACGATGTGAATAAATCTTGTAAATTAAGTTTGAAGTGGCTTGCTACTTCCCCCCCTTTTTTTTTTTTTGCTGAACTTGACAAGGTTAATTTGAAGGTGTGAGCCATGCACTTCCCCGCACTCGAGATCATTTCAAAGCCCTGATTTTCATGTGCCAATCTTGAATGAAAAAGAGGGGAAATTATGTATAATCTGAATATTACAGCTTGCTGGTGTTAGGTTTGTGTAAATGGCCACATGGAGAAGGATTTGCATAATTAGGTGCTGTGGGATGTAGAGCCACATTTTAATCTTTTGTATCATCTAAGCAGCAGGCTATTATCCAGTCCGTGACACTGTCCTTCATCCCCCTTTCCTCCTCCTCCTCCTCCTCCTCCTCCTCAGGTACCTACTTCACACACGAAGCCAAAGGAGCAGACGATGCAGCGGACGCAGATACAGCCATCATCAACGCAGAGGGTGGCCACACCAACTCGGACGAAAAGAAAGAGTACTACATCTAATCAAAACAGGACCCCTCACTCTTGTGTCCTCTTTGGGACACAAAGCTGTTTTTGGGGCCAGGGTAAGGGGAGAAGTGGGGGCGGGAGGTTGATGGAGGGATTTGAGTTGGTTCAGGATCACTTTTAGTGCGAGTAGAGGGGTCGAGGAGTAGAAGAGAGATGGGGTTTTAAAGAAAGGCCTGGTTTTAAGCCGTTGTTTAGTCTAGTCTGCAGATGTAGATGGAATGTTTTGTGTGTAAAAAAAATTAAAAATCAAAAAAGGACAAAAAATGGGAGGGTTTGGGTTTTCGGTACAGTGAGATGGGGATGGGTATAGGGGTGGGAAGGTGCGCCAGACATTGCCAGAAATCACTGTAGAGAGCTTCACCATTCAACACCTCCCTAACTGCTGGTACGAATTTTATTTAGTTCAACCATTTGCAGAAAATTCTGTGCCTTGTTCTATCCATATTTGGATTTGTGTTGATCCTCATTTGCATAACCTTGTTGCTCCCCTGTTTCCCTGTTTCATCTTCCCCACTCGTAATTATCAATGTGCTGTTGGATTTTGTATGAGGGTAAAATTACACAGCCACTTCATTCTTTTCCCTAAATGTGTCTGCACACATCGCGCATCCTCTCCCGCATAACAAAAACGCTTTCCAGTATACTGTGATTTGTCTCAAGCCATTACTTCCCTCTCTCTTTTTTTCCTGAAGTTTTGACAGCTCCAAAAATGCATGGAATGCTTTACATATCATTGTACAAAGGACATAAATGAGAAACAGGTTGGATGTGCTGTACATGCCCTCCCTGCCCCCTCCTGAACACAACCATATTCAAAACATAATCAAAAAGAAGGCAGCAAAAGGAGAATAGGAAATGATTTTATTGGGCCGATTCAGTTAATTCATGTTTCGCAGCCTCAGTTTTGTTCTTCAGAGCAGACATACTACTGCCTCTTAAACAATTACCTTTCTTAGTAAAGAGAAGTACTACATTATTTTTCCTTGCTGCACTGCCATTTTATTATTTTGATTTCTTCCTCTGTTCAGAACAAGTTTTTTTTATTTGGCTTAATGCAAGCCCATTTTCCCCCACCGGCTTTTATTGAGTTGTAATGATGAGGTTCAATTGATTTCCATCTGCTCTCACGCTAGCATATTTTTTTCTTACAAATGGGAAAGTAAGAAAATGTAAATTGTTTTAAACATGTTTTTTTGGCAGACTCTCAGTCAAGATGCCTCAGTAATAAAAAGGCTGTTGAAAAAGCATTTGGTATTAATATTAGCCAACCAGCAGCCAAAAGATGTTGGTGAACTGTACATAACTCTACTGAAAAGAGAAACAGCCTTAACCAAACTCCAAACTGAAACAAATTTATTTTAGGAACACATAAGCTGCACAAAATATAACACAAAAAAAGTGGCCATGACAGTCCAGGTTCTCCCATCAGAGGGTTCATGTTATCTCATAAACACACAATCCAATGTAAATCAAGCCAATGGAATCACAGCTGTATTGTACACTAATCCTTACTAAGAAATATTTTTTACAACTTACTAGAATTACAATGGAGTACCATTGTGAATTTTATTGTATCACGCTCATTGTGAGTTTTGTCAAAATGTAACACAAGCAAATGTTTGGGAAAGAAAACTGTCTTCAAACTGAAATACTCTGAGAGACAGGCCAGTCTCCACTCCCATCACACCTTCTAAATATATATTTTGCTTTGATGCAGCAGCTTGAGTGCTTCAGCATTTGATGTTTTTTTTTGCATGTGTATGTGCTGAAACCCCATTCTTTTTGCTTCTCTATCTTGCTTTATGTATCACCTGCCAAAACTGAATGAGGATCTGTTTTGCTGCACCAGCTGGGGAGCACTGAGGAATGCCAAAAGTAATTAATTGTTTGTAACTGAACTTAATACACATGTTGTGCTCCGTGGTGGCAATCCCATGGGTTGCATTAATGCCCTGGCTTCTTATTAACATGGCAATGAGGGTCTATTTGTGGCATTGTTTGTCATTATTATGTGTTCACACAGCAAGCAGCTTCCTTAATGAGTCCTTACTCTATGTGACAGCTGGGGGTGGATTGAGGAGGTGGTCTAGGTTGCAAGGTACACCTAAAAGTTTTAAGTTGAAAAGCCAGAGTCAACTGGACAATCATCCACCAGATCAAATCAGTGGAGAAAAAAGTTGCCTGATTGACACATTTCTATGATTTACTATTTAATTGTGAATGTCCAAACCACGGCCTAAAGCATACCTGCTTTATTTTATAGACCAAGCTTCTTTTTCTTACCAACGGAACTGCCCCCTGGTGGCCATTAGAAAGAATGCAGATTTAAGGTACTTCCGCATTGGCCTCATTGACCCGGAAGCTTCGTCCATTATTTATTATACAGTCTATGGTCCAAAATTAGTCATCATGATTATTGCACTGTAACTGCTCTTTCAAAAAATGCATTTTTTAAGGTGACCACTGCAACTTAAAAAAACATGCAAATGAAGAAATGCATTCACCAATTTCTCAACAGATACACCTGGAAAAAAAAGAACTCAACACAACAACAACAACACAATCAAATTAAAATATTTTGCAAGTCACACAGAACCGAATGGACATTTTTAGAGGACACTAAAACTGATGATTCTGTGATGTTTGAAAATGAGTTTACAAAGTATTTGTAAGTTGTTGTAGATGCTGATATTAACGGAGATATTGCTGTACCCCCACTATTGTAAGCTACTGGCATGTTCATATATTTTAAACATCCTCCAGAAATGTCTATCGTTTTGTAGTTCTGTTTCTCTGAACAGTTGGCAGTGTTTCTGTATTTGATTATGTTTTCTATATGTCCAGTGTGTGGCTTTATGCCTTGAAAATGTTGCCAAATTGGTGAATGCGCTTAATTTGCTTGCCTTTTAGTAGTTTGATGCACCTTTTCTCTAAACGCACTGTATACCTTGTCAGAGTGGTAAAGATATCTTCTTCACTTGCTTATGTTTTCTGAAGTTGCATTGCGTTGAGCTCTCTCCAGCAATGTACTTTTAGTTTTCCATTATACTTAGTTGTTGTTCTTCAGAAACACCAGTTTATGACATATATCAGTATCAATCATATCCCCTAATACAACCCATACCAGTTTATGATATATAACAATATCAATCATATCACCTAATACAACTCATACCACTTGTACACTGAACACTCTGGAAAATGGATTCTTAATGATGTTGCTTGCTGTGTGGACACTCATATCCAAGATTCAATACTTTATTACCACGTTAATGCATTTGATTGGAATTTGTCAATGTGTGGCTTAGATTGCAACACATTTACAATGTGATAGCTTTAATATATCATAGTCATGCATGAAGACAGCATTCAGTCTTTCCATATTGAGATTGTGGTTTTGGGGTCATTCAAAGGCAGTTGAGAAGGTTCTTGTGAACTGCATTACGCATATTTCAATTTCCTGAGCATTGTGCATCTGTGCATTTTTAAAGTTGTTCAGTATATTTTTCTGCAGTTTTAGAAGACAGCAGGTGGGCTGTGGACATATTTTTAGCTTTTCCATTGGATGTGGCAATTATGGCTACAGGAGTGATGTTGCAGACAAAGATCAAAGATGCTGTGTCCAACTCTCTCCAGCTGTTTATTCTTCTGTGAAAACTTGAGTTAATTTAAAAGTTCTGTACTCACAAAAGGAATTACCACTAAGTTAACACTGTATGCTGATGACACTGTTTTGTGTTTGTTATGTGGATGGGTGGGGGTGGGAAGGGGTTCTGATTAGGTTCGATGTTTTACGGTCTGGTGTCTGATAAAACTATTAACTGACTTGTTATCGTTGCTTTATGAATCACAGAGCAGATGTCACTTCATTTGTAAGACTGAGATTGTGTGATTTGTATTTTACAGTGAGCACTATTTCGCTTTAGTGACATGTGGCAGCTTCCATTTAAATCAGATTTCAAAATATGTACTTGCCAATAAAGGAATAGAACTGAATATTGTCTTCTCCCTTAAGGCTGATACATTAATATTTTATTTGTGAATATTAAACATTTTCTGGGTTGGAACGGCAGGAGTGTTTCTCCAAATGTTTTATTCACAGTAAGAGCTTTTACTCTCCCAAAGTTCCAAAATAAAAAGGAACAAAAATATACAAAATAAGATTTGAGTAGGGTTAAATATTCAGAAGTGGTGCAGATTGAATTTGAAGTAAATAGCAGAATGATATTTTAGGCTATTGTATGTATGATTTTATTTTCTATTAAATGCCCAGTGAAGTAAAACATGGACTTTGATCTTACAGTGTAACTGGTGTAGTTTTCTCCACATTAAATTCTTTTGATAATGTCCTGTCTCTGGTTCATGCGTTGCTGACCGATGTTACTGCATCTCAGGTAGAATGCAAAGTTTAGGCCCCACCTCTAAATGACATAAAAACAAGTACAATGCATCCTCATCAATCAAGTGCAACACGTTATTTTAGATTCAAGAGGCAAAATTGTTGATATTTTGCATATATGTTGTACATGTTTTCTGTATTTTCCTTAATATTTGGTGCACTGTAAAAGATGTGTTAAGTATTGCTTTGTGTTGACATAGGTCATAAAGAGTACACTGTTCATTTGGAATGAAGCAGGATCAGAAACTTGTTGTGGCTGTACTACTGTCACTTTCAACGGACCGCCGCCTTTGGAAGCTTGTTTGATTCACGAAAAGTTTTGATTGTTTCACGAGTCATTGTTTTTAGATTGATTCTTTTTGTCTCTCTGCTGTTCTTGGGAAATGTTAATGTGTATTAATGGAGAAAAAGGAGTTCCACATTCCCATACACATTTTGTATTGGTTCATAAATAGACATTTTTACAAAAACAATGAAAAGTTCTTGTCTTAATAAAAAAGAAAAGATATTAATGTCCAAAATAATCAGTGTTGGTATTATTTTTGTAGTCTAAATGTTAATATAGGCCATTGAGGTGATGCATCACAAGTAAATGGGGAAAATGTGGACACAGACACACGTTATGATAGCCTAAATGATTTGTTCACACATGGAAAAAAATAATTATGTAATATTTATAGAATTGGCAAAGTATACCAAAATAAAACATCCTCTCTCGGACTTCCTGCTTTGTCACAAAATGTCAATAGTTACGTCGAAAATTATTTTAAGAAACACCCCATTTTTCTGGACAGGATGGTCTCCATAGATTTGTTGCCACTACAGTTAACCTTTTTATTAGAATGGAGTGAGACGAAGGAGATATACATTTCTCAGAGGCTTTAAAGATACTTGGTTTTAGATTTAAAATAATATTTGTGATTGTTCTACAAGTTCTGTGTTCTGGGGTTTGTGTAGATCTATGCTTCAAAATTAAGCTTAACTAATATAACTGCTGAACTTCAGTCAACCAGCTCTCATGATGGAATATTATGTGAAGACACACAGATGATATTTGGCGCTTCATATTGACTCCACCATTTCTCATAAGGAAACACAGAGCTCTGTGCAGCAGGGATTTGGGAGTGACAGCGGTGTAGTGCAGGTGTACTTATGTCGAGGGGAATGACCCACCTCACTCTTCCTCTGATTGGATATTGCTTAATTTGGTTGGGTCAGTTAGGTTTAGGCATGAGGAGTGGTTAGGGTAAGAATGCCAGGGTAAGCAGCGCAGGTCATGGCTTCGTTTTGCCATCCTAGGAGCTAAAATGTCTCCAGCAGCAAATCAGCTGTTCCAAGAAACAGTTGACAAAATAAACTACTGGTCCATAGACTACTTGCAAGGTAAGATAATTGTGTGAATGGACTACGGAATAAGGAGTAGTTCACTCAAAATGCATAATTATGCAGTTTTCTCAGCCAATAGTTGGTGAACCAGTACTTCTGTGTCTGTTTATTTTATAATGGTTTCATAACTCCCTGAACTCCAGCAGCAGAAGTCAGAAGCTAGTTACAGTGACAGTGTGCAAATACTACTGGCCCATGTTTGGGTGAGCTAAAAATGCAAAGTACATGTCACTGTTTATAACATCGGGCGTTTATCCTTAGCTGGACAGACCACTTAAAAAAAAAAAAAATCGGGGGCATAAATTAAGAGTGCACCCACTCCTCCAGGAACCACTACGCCACTGGGGAGTGACGATAATAACTTCCCCTCCTTGGGGAGTATAAACTTGTTGTGCTCATAAAATGCTTTACTGACTGCAGAAAAACTTGAGTTGAATACTTCATAATTTAGTTGTATAATGAATATTGCTGCCTTATAGGACTTTTGTTTATTAAATTAATTATTAATTAACCTTACATTGCTGAATGTCATGAGTGTATTTAGACTGAGACAGGGAGACAAAGAAATGTAAGCAGAGAAATGGGGTTTGGGTATATATAGTATATGCACTGTTCTTTAGTGATGTTGAAAGCTCGAGTCTGAAGTGAACCTTGGCAGGCGCAGATGTCATGAAGTCTTTATCACATGCATAAACCAGTGCGAATGTGCAGTATAAAACAAGCGCTCCAAATTAACAGAAATATAGGGTAATATCTTGAGGAGCACCGTGAAAGCTTTAATAAATTCAACAGGATTTATACCCTGAAAATCAATCCCTGCTTCATGAGTGCAGTGAACCTTTTTAACCAACATCTTAAATAAATGGAGATACTGTTATTGATCCCAACACAGTAGATGGAATTGACATAAGGCAAGCTATCTGTCATGGAAAAATGTATTTCCCCATACATATTTAATGTTCATGAGTCAGGTTTTACTTTAGACATTAACACACCTATAATATTCAGTATTCAGTACATGACTTGAGTAGAGGAAGATATTATCTTTTTAATTACATTTTCACCTCAGGCTCTCATTATACCTCAAGTGCGGTACATAATGAGCCAACATCTTAAATAAGTAAAGGTGATACTGCTATTGATTAGAACAAGAAGACCAGAGGCAAGCGATCAGTCATAGAAAATTTACTTCTGGGTTCATGTTTAATGTGTACGCCAGTTGGTCTCTTATAGACTCATTACTCAATATCCTTGAATAACTTGAATAGAAAGAAATCTTATTCATTACACTTTAACTTACTCTATAACAGCAAATGGTTGCACTTAATGATGCCAGAGTATAATCATTTTGCTGGATGTGTCCTTGGTGGGTTTTGTCTACAGTAATGAAAAGGTCAGCCATGCAGTTTTGCCTTTGTGCGTTAACCTTGCAAGCTGAATAGGTTAAAGCGTATATATCCTGAAATTAATATTACATTATTTATCTATTATTAGTTGTCTCTGTGCAGACCAGCCCGTGTTTTGATCCTGATCTAATGAAGACTATTAAAAGTGTCCTTGTTACCCACTCACATATTATTCAGGGATTGGCTATTCAGCACCTATTCAGAGGCCATTAGGTTACGAGGCCAAGAAGAGGCTTTGCAAAGCAAAACTTCACTGCCTGACATCAACAGGTGAACCAGAAGTGATTATGAATGATTTATTGATTGTGAGACTGTAAGGGGCAGGAAAGAGCAGACCCATAAACTCTTGTGGTAATGGCGACCCTTAAGGGCACTCAGGAAATTAGGCCACCTGTAACGCCTCGCAACAATTAAGCTACTTGTCCTTGCTCTGCAATCAGACCAGGTCCCCATTATGCAGAGAGTAATACTCTTAAGAATAATTTTTTCATACAATCACTGAATACAAAGTAACTAATTAGGAGTTCTATCTATCTGCATTTAACCGTGTCTCCTAGACGTCACAATCATATACTGCTGTTTGTTTTGCCAAGTCCGGCATAACATTTAACCAAAACCATGACCCTTCCCTATCGTTAACTAAAGGAAACACATCACTTTGGACTATATTCAATATTGAACCAAGATCTTTGCCTAACCTTAACTGGGTGCCTAAATATAACCACCAAAAAATGCTTCAGTTACTTCTAAAGGAGATTCTAGGAAAACAAATACGGTGTTCGGGAACATTTTGCAGATACACTCAGTATCAGCAAAATGTTGGCAGAAATATTCATAAACTAAAGAGTGTAAACCTCCACCAAGGCCAATAAGCCACTCTTCTATTATATGCTAATCTGAATGCTCAATGTTAACAAAAGTGGAAAAAGAATTAATGTATCGAGCCCTCGATTTATACACAATCCAAAACTTGGCTTCTTCCTCGGCCCATGCTACACCCTTATAACAAGAGTCATGAAAATCAGGCCAGTACTTTTCCTGTAATCCTGCTGACAGACAAACAAAAACACAAACAGCACCAAAAGCATTACCTCCTTGGCAGCACTAACAATGTTTATTAATATATGGCAACAGAAAATGTAAGTGTGGCCAGTACCACTGTTATTACTATTATTATTGAAGGTAGCCAAGATGTAACGCCATTCATTTGCAAGGTCTTTATCTGTTTTTTACTCTCGCCTCAGTTCCACCTATGATGAAAATAACTGTATTCTGTCCATGTACAATCAGCATATGTCCTTCAATTAAATATACAGCAAAAAAAGACATTACGTTACAAACATTATTTGCTGTTGAAGCAGTATATAAATGTCATTTCTAGGACAACAATGGACTAAGACATATTTAGAGGTCCAGTGTGTAATATGAGTATCTATCTGCAGAAACTAAATTTAATATTCATATGTATGTTTTCATAATCACCTGAAAAGAAGATTTGTTTTGTTTGCATTACCTTGGAATGGGTGGGTCCTTCTTCTACGAACAGCCATGTTTCTACAGTAGCCGAGAACGGACTGGCTCTAAATTGGGCCATCTTGACCGCCCCCTAGTGGCTGACTAAGATACAGCTCATAAAGCCTGTTACCTCCATGTAAGCAGATGGGACACAAGCCTAACTAAATATAAAAATAATATTAATAATAATTTTTTCCTAAAGATGGTTTCTGGCATTTTAGGTAGTTCTATCACACTGATGTATGTTCAAGTGTTCATTTTACTGATGAGTTTGATTTTTATTAGTTATTTGAAGCTATCAAAAGGGGGTTTAACATCATGATTGACAGCTGAGCCCTGCTTGTGACTAAGTCAGACGGGAGCATGGGTGGGACTTGGATACCACGGCAGCAACCCTGATCACTACTGAGTAAACTCTGGCTCCGGATGGTGAAAAATGGCAGCCGCCGTATCTGGGATATTTTCATTTTTGAAAAGTGGGAGGAAGTGGAGACGCAACGTCCATCTTTTATATGTCAATGCTCTAACCATCTTCTCCTTCAGCAACCTTCCCCTCACAATACAAACTGTTTCAACAACTAAACCCACAAATCTTAGATGTTATTTGGATAATCAATGATGAATTTATATCACATTTAATATTTGGATCTTCTAAAAGCTTTGTTCTTAAGGTACTGTACAATTCCTGTGTGACCTTTTACTATGGGGGATTTCCTGGAGAGTAAATATAAATATCACTGTAATTGCTTCAGGGCTGGCCTCTGCACCACACACACAGAAGTAATACTGTATTTCATAATAAAAGAAAACTGAAGTAGACATATTCAGGGTTAGCTGACAAATACTCTTCAGCATGCCCTTTGCTAACAGCAGTAGCTACAATAACAACCAACTTTAGATTTAGAAAATGTCTTTTGATGTAGACACCTTCTGTTCCAGATCAGCACAGTGTTAATTAAGTAGTGTTTATTTATTGTTAACAGTGACTTGCTCATTATCTTAGTGTTAACAAGCCCTCAGAAGCTTTAATCATAAAGCAAGGTTTTTCTCCTTTTTGCTAGTTTTGTTTTGAGCAACTGACTAAACACATACAGCTCTGAGAAAGAAGTGGTGGCAGCACTTATATTGACTTTGTAATCTTTCATTTTTTTAGATTTATGAATGTGGAGGATAAAAATCTAACAAGTTTTTCGCCTCAGG